GGCAGAGCCTACTGTCTGAAACGTTGTGTACCCTACATTTTTTTTCAGAACCACACATACATACTCACAAAAGAGATTTTGCCAAATGGTGCTATCGCAAACCAATTATCTTATTATTTAACCCTTTCACCATGCAAACCTTCAAATCTCATTTGAGGGCAATATTTGTGTGACACATGTGTATCTGCTTGGAAATATTCTAATTTTGAGAGTTACACAATTTCCTGAATTATCAGTCATATAAGGATGAATTGATTCACTTCTATAATACTATAGGCAAGGATCTTGTTTGTTTGGGGGGGATTATATTGTGATATTGAGAAATGTGCAACAATCGGTGCATTGTTAAAAAGAGAAGAGACTTTTTATAAAGTGTCATTCAGTTAGGATATAAATGTCATGATCAGATAGAAATTGCGTATGAATGCAAAATGACTCGAAGCATCTCATCTCCTATAGTTTCATTTTAAACTTTGTTATACCTCAAACTGAATTAGGGAAACTGTTTCTCTATCTACCATCTGGCAAACACAATTCATTCAATTTAAAATTTAATGCAAATACCCCTGGACTCCTGAAGTATCACATGTACATGTTCCTTACACTATTCAGAACAAGTAAATAAGTGAGGGGGAAAAAATGCTTACCCGAACTGAAGCATTACCCAGTATCTCGTTCCCTGCCCCAAACGAAAAGGCTAACAAAGCAGATTAGATTGAAGCCGGCCCTGGTGAAAGCAACTTCGTTTCATCCCAGAGCCCGACATCTCTTGAATAATAGACGCGCGTGACAATGCAACAGCAGAGTCCCCCCTTTCTTCTCTCCCCAATGCAATGAATTCCGAGATTTATCCGTTGTAGGCTGCTTTTTCATCAATGCAACGTGTCCGAGGCACGAGATTCGCAGCTGCACCCCCAGAGCAACTCTCCCTCTCTCTGTCCGTCTCTTCAGTCAGTAGTCTTCAAATGATATTTTTAATGTGCACACACACATACAATACATTTGATATCCTTGTCGCTAATACGCCAAATACTAAGTGGCACTTCAGCGGGGGAGTGTTCGGAGTGCATGCAGTTGTTTAAAGTGCATGCATATTCGTTTTTGTAATCATTTAAGTTGAAAAAAATAAGCTGAGAGATAGAGGAAAAAACTTATCAAATATTTATTCAGTTCAAACACGTAGTTAAACCTCACCTTTATGTGTTTTTCCCCATCAGAAAAATATGTAAACATTGTGCAGCTGTGAAGTTATAGATGGGGGCAGAATAATTCCCATGATGTTTAATGAATAACTGGCCTGTGAGAAGTCACAATTACCATGATGTGTACATTTTACCCAAAGGCAACTTTGTACTGCACACGTACACAAATTAGTTTGTTCATTTTCTATAGTGCGTGAATTTTACATATTTACATAAGAAGGGAAGGAAAGATGAATTCTGCAATAACAATAATTATGGTCATTGAGTGCATGGGACGAACACTTCTGAATATAGGACATGTTAACAGATGTAGAAGTTATCAGCAAAAAGAAGTGAAACTCGTTGCATATATCCATGAAAAATTATAATTTTGTGCCACAGGTACTTGTACAGTGAGTACCAGCAGCATATGTGAATGGGATATATTTGTTGCACAAATTGGCTATTGTGCATTAGACCTCTCTGTGATAAACTTGAAATGTTGTTTGTGGTCACACACACAAAATGTACTCCATTTGTCTGTCTTTTCAAAGTTTTTGTCTTTCAACTCCTAACCTGACTGTTCTGAAAAAGAAAATGCAGCTACCGGTACATTGCACTTAACCGAAACTGGAACAGTGATGCTGGAGAGAGAGCCGTGGATGTAGTATATGTCCGACAGAACTTGTGGAGTCACTTCCTCACCCTAACTCAATAACTAACTACACTGTATAGACCATCATGCTGCCACCATTTCAGTCATGTTCCCTGTATCCAATAACAGTACTGAATGATAATTTTTTTGTGCAAAAAGGAACCAGACTATTTCTCCTTCCTGCCTCGCTTTGGTTACGTTGATTTGAATGGGGAAAAATCAAGATGGCCGCAATATGATAATGGTCTGTATACTTACATACATTGTACAAATGTACCCAATACATGCATTTTGAAAGTGACTGCTTTGCCTTCAGATTTCTACAAAGCCTTTACTGAAATACATGCAGACAGATTTCAAGGGTCAAAGGAAAACACTCTTGTTATCTGTTTGATGAGTATTGTGATGAAACGCTAATGGATTGATCAAATACAAATAATATCAATCAAGAGAATTGTATATATTTCCTCTTATTTCAAATGTATTTCATCTTCAAGAAAGCTGATGGTGAAATTGCACTGAGTCCCAAACTAGAGGTGTGAATTTACAGGAAGTACATGAATCGGGTACCCGATTGGAAAAAAAAAATGGGTCCCCGGGTACCCGTTTAAGATACCCAACCCCAAAATTTAAATCTCGGAAGTTGCTGTACAGATTGTTCATAACGGTCCACAGCAAGATACAAGTGTACAGTGATACAAGGTGTAAATTGCATTTTCTCTAGCGTCATAAACGTGTATCTGTTGTTTTTCCATACAGCCTGACATTCAAACCTTCTTTTTCATTGTTTGCGAATGTACTAATTAATGCAAAGTTGGTTGCGGGTACTCAATTCCGTAATCTGGAACCGGTTCCTGACATCAGCGATCGGGTACTCGGGTACCCGGTTCTGATGCACAGCCCTATCCCAAGCTGAGCTATACAGTATGTAGACGGATCCTTGATTGATCCTTGTCAGGCATGCCGCTTTTCATCGGATCTGCTGATCTCCTCGGTTTTTTTTACTTCTCTTAAATGCCATTTCAAAATGAAAAACACTGTACAAAGTCTTGTGAGGTTTGGAATTCCTCAATTTTTTTTCTAAATTCGCAGTTGCATGCCTGATGTATATACTTCCGTTGATTCCTTAAAATCCAAAGTGAAGTAGTATCTGATTGATTCTTGATGTCTGAGTGGGGCTGTCAACCCCCCAATCCCAAATGAAATCATGGGTTTATTGCAGCTTCAGGAAAACAGAATGTCGACGCTTGTCTTTAACCAGGTCTGACTCGGTGCAAGCCGGGGATTCCACAGGCTTTATCCTGATATTGCTTTTGTAATATCCCCCTGACATCTTTACATCAATTGTTCCTACGCATGTGAATTTTTTTAAAGGGAAACTTTTGTGCATCTGAAAAAGAAAGCAGGAAGAACGACTTGCTTGCATCATAAAAGAAAAAAATGATTAATTATAAACAAACAAAAAAGGCCCCTCCCCTAAAAAAAAGAAAAAATGTAAAAAATGGTGTGTGTGCATCTTACGAAAACAAAAATTGGAACCTCAGGCGGGCATCATTTAAATTATTCATTAAAATGAATAGAAAATCCCATCCCCCCAAAAAAAATGAAAAAAAGAAATTGGTTCCCATCATTGATGAAGCTATTTTCCACTCAAGCTTGTTTATATTCCGTACTTCTAGCTAACGTAAAGCTGTTGACATGCCTGTTGAAGACCGCAAATTAGCCAGACAAGAGGGTTGGTTTTATCCTCCCAGTGCTACTGTAAACACGGCACGGGTTCCTGCCTCGATGTCTCAGTGCGGTATTTTCTTTATCCCGCCTACGGGCTCTATATAGTCTCCGGTTTTAATGCCGGAGCACGTTGCATTGTGTGTATGCGCATCCTTTTCTTGACATTTTAGACGGGCGGCTATAGATCTATCCGTGTGTGTGTGCCGTCTGGGTTCCGTGTATTGACGGGTGGAGATATAACGCGGAGAGAGAAAAACATTACCATTGATCCTCTTTAGTATATTGAGCGTGACGGTCCGCATATTGCCGCCTCCTTGGAATAATGGCTAATTTCACTATTAATTATGCGTGTCACTGTTGAATTTTATGCATTTGGCCTGAGGCACAAGGGCGTATGATGAATTGTGCAAGAAGTTGTCAATGTTTTCTGTACACAATCATGAATGACTCCTGGCTTGCAAGTCAATCCTGTAATGGGTTGCGAAGGAGAGGCTTCTGGGTGTTCTGACTGTAATCCCTCAGGCTGAATTGGGGACTTATACAACATGGATCACATGTAATGTGTTTGTTTTATTTGCATGGATGTACCAGTACGTGTGTTAGAAGCTGAACAAACACAAGACTATTTGTAGGTTGGCGCATGTATGTATGTATTCATACCCAGGGACCTGGTCAGTCAGTCAGTCGGTCAGTCAGTCGGGGGGGGGGGGGGGGAGTCAGACAGGCAGTCACTCAGTCACTTAGTCAGTCACTCAGTGCCTTCCTCCATGGTCAGTGAGAGAATAATACTCGTATGTAGACTGGCCCAATCAGTTCCAGCAAGAATAAACGCTTGGAGAAAACAAAAGCCGTCTGGCTCAGTTACTGCTGTACAAAATTCAGGTGCGAATAATAATTTTTGCCAGGACTAACCACTTTGGAGGACATTTTTTGAGGAAACGTTTAGAAAATTGAAAGACATCATCAAAACCTGGTACCAAGTGGTTGGAAACTTTAGTTGAAACATTTTTTGGAAGAGTCAGCATATAATAAAAAGCAGTCAGAAAATGCTAACTACCAGTAAAGAAGAAACAAATCCATATTTTTGAGAGGGACTAGACAACTAATAACCCGGTACATGTATTGTGTATTCATGTACCAGTACATTATCTTTCACAACCTGCCATTTTATAGCCGCTACTTACAGAACATTGCTCAATCTAGGTGCTTTTTTTTTTAAACTACAATGTAGCTAGGAGTTCAAAGTAACTTTTGATTGATGTGCGTACAATGAACATTCATATACCTCATACTAATTTGTAGCCAACACTCATCCAAAATTTGAAAGAAGTCTAGTTCTAAAACAGAAAGACCCAAAACAGATATTCTAAATAGCCTACCTTATTTTGTAACACATGCCATCTTTTGTCGTTTTGTCTTTAAAATATATCAAGCTCCAGGTATCAGTGGTTGCCACGGAGAAAGCCTGTCACTTTTTCCAGGCATCAGACCTCCCCAGAGAAGTAGCGTTGTACCGCGACGAGGACGAATGGTCGGTGAGTACAATACCAGTAACGGTTGGAGAGTGTGCAACAAGATCTCACATAATACAGCACATCTCATTGGAGTGTAAACCTTTGCCATGCACACTCCACATATATACACCCGCACGTGTGCCTGGTACAGTCACCGTTTCTTTTTTATTAGCTGCACGCATGCACGCGGCCTGACACACAAGCTAAATTGATGTATACGTGTGCATCCCCACTCCCCCACGTTCTGTGAGCAGCAAGGATAGCCAGTGTCATATATGCTGGTCTGGATGTGCGTGGTGGTGCTGAATTCTAATATGAGAAGCAAGCTAAACACGGTACACTCTCTGTAGATCTGTGGTAATGGAAAGTTCATGACCGTTGTCATCATAGGCAGCGTCTTCCAGTGACTAGTTCTGGCAGATGTATGCAGGAGGGAGGGAATGGGGGTGGGGGTAGACATTTTAGTGCATGTGCTGTGGGGAGGTCTAGAGGCAGATCCCCTTGAATTAATGTGCTTGTGACACACATCTGTGTGGGTTCAGCACAGGCCAGTCCTATGTCTGTAAACATAAGCTGAGGATGCGGAATGAAAAGATAATAATTGTGCATTCCCTGGATGGATTTTGCAATGGATCGTCAGTTTGTCTCGGCTTGCAGCCAAAAGTCTGTGCAATATTGTTATCAAGGGTCGAGAGCCTGTACATAACAAGGCATTTATTAATTGAGATCAACAACTTTTCGTTTTCTTTTCTTCTTTTGGAAGCATGGAAATTGTTGTTGAACATACATGTAAGAGACAAAAGATACCAACATGTCAACGAATTGCTGATGGGTTTGAATGAACTGAAATACTGGCACAATGTATAATCAGGGGAATGCCGCACATTTTAATCTGGGCAAAATCTGTCTCAAAGGCAAATTATTTCAAGCTCAAATGATTGAATTAGGCATGAGTGTTTACCAGATTTTGCCTTTGAGGTTATGGCTCCTTCAACCCCCCCCCCCCCCCCCCCCAATGACTAGAACCACTCCCTCCCTTTTCCTGTCACTGATTTCCTGTAATGCACCGATTTTAAAATTCTGCATATATATTGTATAATGCTAATGGAGTAAACTGAGAAATTTGATTATAAAGGGTGATTTGATTACCACGGATGACAGTGGTCCATGCGGGTCAAGAAGGATGGCAAGTGCTCTGCTGAACAGCACATGCTCTCTCTAGCTCTCTCTATTCTGCAAGAAATGATTGATTGCCAAAAGCTAATGGCATCTAGAAGTGGCCAACGTGATTAAATGCTGAAGTTTTCCTCATCAGGGTATGAGTGATGATAGCATCTGTGAAAGTGGAAGGGAGTTGTTTTTTTTGTCATGGGGGTGGGGGAGGAGAAGATGCAGTGCTATACTTAGATGTAAATGTACTCATATGTCGATCTGTAGTTCTAACCTACAATCCCAGCCAAAACTCGCTGGGCCCCCACCCCCGGCCCCCGGCCAATGTTGTCTCTCATTGCGCGGTCTGTGCTCAAGCGCGAGATGACAACATTGAGTGGGGGAGCGGGGTACCGGGGGAGGGTATGCTCATGTTGTGGATGTGTCCCAACCATTTTGGCCGGGAAATGCATATACATGTACCCTGGATTGGATGTGGAGAGGGAGGGTGTGGACTGGGGGAGGGTATGCTTATTGTGACGTAAAAAAAAAGGGGGGGGGCTTGACACCACATTACACTAGGGGGCGCTCTTCAGGATTTAAATGAATATACATACTCGCGCTTACATCAAATAGGCGCATTTTAAAAGCTTTTGTACTTTGTTTCTCTACATTTCAGTGCTGTTCAAAGCATTTTGGTCGTTGAGATGTTGCAAAATACCTCGAATCCACATCACGACAAAGTGGGGGGGGGGATGATTCAATATCCCATCCCCCCCCCCCCCCCCTGGGCAAAAAGTGGGGGAAATATCCCCCCCCCCCCCCATCCCCCCTGAAATAGTCGGGCTTTATAGTATATAATTTCATTGAAGTAAAAAACATTAAACGGTTTTAATTATTTTTTTCTGAATGTTGCCCTTTTTTTGGGCTTACTGTATGTACATGTACACGTACATGTACAATGTATAGCACATGTACATGTACACGTGCTCTACTTGGTTATATACATGTATGCAGTTAATATACTATTAGTTATCCCGCGAGCGCTCGTGGAACACGGAATAATGTAGTGCATCTGTGTCCCACATACCACGAGGCCAAAGGCTGAGTGGTATGTGGGACACAGACGCACTACATTTTCCGTGTTCCACGAGCGCGAGCGTGATAACGAATTTATCTTCAAGCACATTTGACGCACAATAAAGATGAAATGCACGCTGTACACAAAGTGCTTATCCTATTACACATGTGTGGTTTGTACGGAATGGCGCGCGCATCTTGGAATATCGCAAAACGCAGAGTGCAGTATGGACCGTGGCCGTGCTACATGATTATATGTAGCACGGGTTGTTGCCATGGATCGACCAATCAGGATCGAGGATTCAAGTTTACTTGAAGATAAATGTACACGTACACATTCTGTTGTTCACAGGAGTTTCCTAATTGGGATTGCAGATTTTGGCTACTTCTGCAGATTTTTGATTTTAATTATATTTTTTCCAGGGCTGTTGCAAACTGATTACAATTCTCTCTCGACCCAGTGTCGTGCTTTTGCAAGCCCACTGTCGCAGGATCAGTTCAATAGGTGGTCGTGCCCGCAATTGCCTACACGCGCAGAGCAATTAATTGGGACTGCACTTGGATCATACGTCTGAAGGTCACTCACTGCATTTTGAATCAGACTAATAGCAACCCATCTCTGTTGCTGCCAACGAAGGTCCGCGCTCCGCCGTGCAAGGATTGATGATGATAACTGTTCATGCATTAGTGTATATTAATCTCTGTAGATAAATACTACATGTACATGCACATGTACCGGTATACATGCCTCTGGAAACAGCCAGTGTTTTTCATGCAAAGTTTGTGTTTGGTATGTTGGCGGTACGGTACATATGTAAACAGTTCCCATTGCCACCAAAACTTTCAGAAGGCAATTCCAGCGTGTATTTATTTATTTATATATTTATTTACCCGGGGTATATGAAAGTACATGTAAGTGTAATTTCCAAGCCATTTAACCATGATGCCTCATTAATGATTCAGAGAAATGATCCAAAACTCATCGTCTGTAATCTCCTTCACCATTACTGGATGACGAATGTACAGGCCTGTCGCCAAGGGAGGGGGGCCTGGTGGGGCCAGGCTCCCTTGGCAACCAATTAGCCCCCCAATGGCAAAACTAAAGCCATACATGTGTATTTTTGTATTTTTATGATAGTGGGCCCCTCTAGTTAGTACTATGGCCACCCCCCCCCTCCCCTCCCCCCCCCCCCCCCCCCCCCCCCCCCCCCGACACTCAGGGCTGGCGACGGACCTGCGAATTCATGTACAAGATTTGAAGAAAGAAAAAACATTTTCAGGTTTATTCACTGAGCTCTTAAAAGCTCTAAAAAACTCTGTCATAGACACTACATAATTCTGGAATAGCCCAGAAATTAAATTCCTGACATCAGAAATGTCAAAGGGGAAACTAGACTACCCTCGGGGACCAGCAAAAACTGTTCGGCAGAAAAGGAGTATTTTTTATTCAAGGAAGCTGCTCGGACACAAACACAGGTACACACAGACATGTTGATGTTGGAAATCGAGGATTTTCTTTTGTTCCTCTTCCCTTTTACTTTGTTTGTACTCTTTAACTTTTTCGCAACAGCTCTCATTGGTTTTGTACACGTTTTCTAATCGAGGTTGGCCTCGATTTGGTTCCTGTCCTCAATTCACCGATGATGTTGCACGTGTGTGTCCTCGATGTACACCATAAACAAACGCACATGTACATTATTCATCTTTTTGTAAACATTGTTTGCTGACTTTCCGAAGCAGAAGTTGCAACGAGTCTTTCTATTTTATACTATTTCCCTTGACTCCAGTGTTACTTCTTCATTAATTTAAAACAAATAATTCTTGATCTGACTCTAGGATTGACTTGGCACTCCAGGAATTCAAGCCAGCTGCAAATTCCCGGTACATGTACCAAGACCATCTATAAGAAAATTGTGTCAAGGTCTCAACCCAGTTTGAAGGAGAAAGGACCAAGAGAAGGGGGGGGGGGGCAGGAAGATGTTTTCATGTTTATCTCGGAGGGATGGCAATCGAAGAGAACGGGCCAGCTGCAGATGTCATCAGAGCTGGTCGTTGAGAAATGGATGAGCTTATCGTGATTGTCAGTAGATAAAAAAATTGTGTCAGCCTGGTTACAGTCCAATTCAGAAAGAGAGAGAGATTTTCCATCTGCCTGGAAAACGGAGTTCTCGCTGGTTTGCTCGCGGGGGCTCATGGGTGCTCGTGAGCATATCCAGAATAAACAGACAAGTTTGTGAAGACTTTACGGATGATTTCAGATTTTTTTTTTTTTGCTTGAGTCCAGGCGCGTACGCAGGGGGGGGGGGGGTGTTTTGGCTGTTAAACACCCCCCTTTGCCATGTAAAAATATGGAGGGAAAAGAGAGTTATGTGACCGAGCGCGGAACAATTACAAATTATGTGCATGTTCTCAACTTTAAGCTTTGAATACAGAAGACACTTTATAAGAGCAAGAGTATATAGGCCTATATGTATTTGAAACAAATGAAACAAAATATCCCCTCATAATTTTAAAAACTTCTGCTAAAAAAAATCAGGGGAAAGTGGCCAGGAAATGCCTCAGATTGCACCACAGAGCATCTACAATCCAAAATTTCCCGGGGCCCTTAAGCGGCCCCCGGACCCCACGCCCGTAAGTGCTCCGCGCTCTGCGCTCGCATTAGTCCTCCGGCCAAATTCCCTCTATGCTATTATTTCACCCTAGCTGGGCCCCCACCTTATTTGTACCTTTAGCAGCGAATGGCTGAGGCTCGACTACAAGTGGCCTAATAAATCCCTTTCCAAAATAGAAAA